GTCTTGAAGTCATTATGTGGCCCAGGCAGGCCTTGAATTTGTGGTGATCCTCTTGCCCCAGCCTCCTGAGTGCTGGGATTACAGGTGCGTGCCACCATACCTGCCTTTACAGTAATAATTTTTTTTTTTTTTTTGGCAGAACTGGGGATTGAACTCAGGCCCTTGCGCTTGCCAGGGAAGCGCTTATTCCACTGGGCCATCTCCCTGGCTCCAATAATAAATTTTAAAAATTTAAATATTCACCGTATTTTTCAATCACACCTTCTACATGATCAATAGGTCCTGTAGCCTGATAAAGACAAGGTTCCCTGGGGATAGGATAGAGAATTTACAAGTGAGTTTTCCTTGCTGGGCATGGGGGCACATACCCATAACCCCAGCATGGGGATACTCTAGGTGGCTAAGAGGGGAAGACTGTAAATTTGAACCCAGCCTAGACAATGTAATGTCTCAGAGAGACCCAGTTTCAGAATACAAAACAAAACAAAAAACCAACTGGGGATGGATGCACTTTAGTGCAAAAACCCTAGATGCCTGTTAGAATCCCAAAAAGCATCCCTTCCCACTTAGTAAGATTTGAGGTAATTTTTCCATTTACAGTGTTTTTATATATATTATCTTAATCTTCACATGAGGGTTACAATGTATCTATTATTTTCCTCAAGTGAAGCCTACAGTTAATTTTGGGCCCACACCATGGCCAACAGGAGCTGGTTCTGACCCCAGCCTCTCTCCAATACTCAGGCCAGCCTCTTAAGAGAGCTAGCTGCACAGGGAAAGGAAACAGGCAGTTATGGCTGTGAAATCCCCAAAATCTTTTTGTCCTTCATCCTGAGTTAACTGCCCTCTAGGGCAAAGGACACAGAGAAGGGGGCCTTAAAGAGGTTAATTATTAACCCTTTGTGCCTTAGGGGACCGCAAATTTCTTTCCCATCGTGGAGGCGAAGGCACACTGACAGTCTCTAGACTGGTGGTCCAACAGCAGCAGCCATGGGGACTGCGCTGCCGCCGCCGGCTCTGCGGCGCTGGTTCCGACACACAATTGCTGTGGCTATCTTCCTGCTGATGGTTTATCTGAGTGCTCGGATCCTCCGTGAGTGGCCCCTTCCCTCACTTGCTCAGGAAAGAGTCCAGAAGTCCAAGCCTTGGGAACCAAGCCCTCTTCTGGAACCCTGGCCATCCCGATTCTTTGTCCCTAGGTGTCCTGTCAGGCTGCAGACCCGGGACACAGTCCTGTGTTTCAGAAGGACCGCTGCCCTTACAGGTAGCTCCCTTGGGACAGGGCTGGACCTGGGAGCTCGAAATAGAACCTTGAACAGGGGAAGGGAGCCCTCCGAGGATCTAGTGAAGGGTGGGTCCTCTCCTCTTTCCTCTCCCATCAGAAGCAGTGAGTACTGCAGGAGACCCCAGCTAGACCCTAAGAACAAATTCTTCAGAGCCCAGTGGGGCTTCCGGCTAAGCAGGCCCAGAGGGCTAGGGTCTCTGCTCTTGCCCTCTTTCCCTCAGGTCTATCCCCAGGACCAGCACAAGTCGGGACACCTGGTGGCCCCAGGGTGGGAAGAGCCACAGTGTCTGGGACCTCAGGGAATGCTGGGCCGCATGACAAGGTCCTTCCGGGCCAGTCTGAAGCCTGAAGGAGATGTGGAGTTGTCGCAGTACCTGGCAGGATGGAGGGAACTAGTCAGGTTTGTGGTTTCCCTCCCCCAAACAAGTCTTTGCCTCTTCCTCTTCGAGGCTCAGGCTCCCCTGCCCTTTCCCAAACCCTCGCCACCCCTCACCAAACACACAGGTTCCTAACTCCCCTGGGCTCCATCGTCACTTTCGCTGCGAACGAGGCCTTCGTCAAGGTGACAGCCCTCGAGACTCTCGTGCAGGGCCCCGATGCGACGCACTACTGGTCACTGGCTACCATGGCCTCTTGGGAGCGGAGCGCGGGGCTTCTGGGGCCACCCGGCACCGCCCCCCAGGCCTCCGGCTGCCGGACGCTGCTCCTGCTGCACCGCGCGCTGCGCTGGTCCCAGCTCTGCCTCCACCGGGTGGCGACAGGGACGCTCCGAGGCCCGGACGACGCGGGCGTGCAGTGTGGCGACGCCTATCGCACCGCCCTGGCCCCGCACCACCCCTGGCTCGTCCGTCAGGCTGCCCGCCTCGCCTTCCTCGCCCTCCCGAGCCGCGACCGCTTGCTCGAGCTGGCGTGTCCTGCAGCCGGAGAGGCGGACGCGCGGGCTGCGCTAGCCGGGGCTGCCGGCATCTTGGAGCAGGTCTACAACCGCACCCAGGTCCTGCTGGCTGGGAATGGCCTGCTGCATTTGGCCTGAGGACCGCGGCGGCGGGAAAAGCGCGCTGCGGGCAGGGGGATCCGCGCTGCCGGGGAGAGCGCCGCAGGAACCCGCGCGCGTCGCCGGGGGGCGGGGCGTCCGGAGAGTCCAGCCCCCGGTGACGTCAACGTCGCAAAGCCCGGTCCCGGAGGAGGTGGTTTGGCCTAGGCGTTCAGACGTCAGTCTCTGGAAGACGCAAGGAGCTGAGAGCAATAAAGTGGTTTTTGAAAAGTAGGCGTTTTCTGTGATGACTGCAGGCGCTTACAGGGGGAAATATATGGAAAGATGTGTCATCTCTGTTCCCAGTGGCCAGGATGCACTTTCCCGTAAGGGTCTATTTCAACAACTGTAGTGAATTCCATTGCCAACGCCTGGTCTCTAGCCTAGACCTGTCCTGCGAGCTTCACTTGCCGCACCGACAGCGGACAGAGCTTTCCTGGCCTCTCGCACAGACCCTGCAACGACAGCGTGTCCAACAAGGATCCCAATAACTTCGTCCCAGAAGCGCATTTCTTCCCGTGTTCGCCGTTTCCATAAATAACACCTCTGCCTTCCACTCTACCAAAGCCTCAAGCCTGTGCCCCGCGCCTCACACCAAGCAGGTGCTCAGCCACAAACATATATTTTTCCTGGGCTAGTCCCGCAAGAGTAAGCATGAAGGAGTTTGACCGTTTTGAGCTCCCAAATTATACCTCAAGCCATTTCCTTCTGGACTCCAGGATCCTATATGTACATACCTACCTATTCTGCAATTCCACTTAGATGTCGACAAGGCATAGAAAATTGGCGTGTTCAAACTATGCTTCTCAGTTTCTCCTTCTCCCAAAATACTGCCTTCATTGACTTTGCCATCTCCATAAATAACAACTCTATTCTTCCAGGTCCATAGAACAAAAACCTGGATATACCGTACAGACTCTTCTGTCCCTTTACTACATGAACATTCCATCTGACCATTTCCTACTTTCTCCACTATTACTACTCTTGTTCAAAGAAACCTTATGCATTTCCCAGATTACTGCAAAATTTGTTTATGTACTTACTGGAAACTAGTTCTTGCTATATAGCCTAATCCAGCCTCAACCTAGCAAGTGGTGAGATTACAGGCATGCACAACCATAACTAGCTGCAATACCCTGTTAATAGTCTCCCTGCCCATCCTTTTCCCGCCCATAATGTACTGTCAGTGATGTAAAAAAAAATCTTTTAAAATGTAGATCAGTGCCAAGGAGATAGCTCAGCCTGGCAAGTGTAAGGTTATGAGTTGCTCTCTGGTAAAAAAAAAAAAAAATGTAGATCAGCTGGGTGTGCTATAATCCCAGCACTCGGGAGGCTGAGACAGGAGGATCATGGTAAATTTGAAGCCAGTCTGGGCTACACAGTTAGCTCAAGGCCAGCCTGAACTGCATAATGAGACCCTGTCTCAAAAAGACCAAAAAAAATTTTTTTAAATGTAATAATAAACCAGGCACGGTGATGAGCTCCTGTAATCCCAGTACTTGGGAAGCTGAGGCAGGAGGATCATTGCAAGTTTGAGGTCAACCTGGTTTACATATTGAGACCCTACCCCAAACAACAACAAAAATGCAGATCATACATCACTTCCCTTCTCAAAATTTTCCAATGGCTTCCAATGCAATAGGACTAAAATTGTTTAACGCTTAACAGGAAATTTTCAGGATCATGTTTCCAGTGAGAAAATACTTTGTAAAGTTTTTACCTGCAACAGCCAAAAGGACCTCAATATCCACTAAATATGTCTGGCATTATTCTGCCTCAGGACTTTTTTATTTACTATTCCCTTTGTCCAAAATACTTTCCTCCAAGTGGACAAATGACTTCCTCCTTTAAACTAGAAAAATAAGAACAAATTAAACCTAGAGAAATCAAAAGGAAGCCTGGTCATGGTGGCACATGCCTGTAATCCCAGCATTCAGGAGGCTGAGGCAGGAGGACTGCCATGAGTTTAAGGTTAGTCTGAACTACATAGCAAGATCCTGTCTCAATAACTAAATAAGGGAGCCTGCCCATTAGCTCAGTGGTTTAAGTGACTGCTACAAAGCAATCAGGATGCTGTTTCGATCCCCAGATCCTCAAGCCTTACCTTACCTGCCCTGAAGGCATCTTGAGCCAGCCCCCCCAAAAATCAATAACTAAATAAACAGGGGCCAGGGACTTAGTTCAGTGGTACAGCGCGCCTGCTTGCCAACCTTGAGGTCCTGAATTCAATTCCTGGTACCCAAAAATAAATTAATTAATTAAAAAAGAAATGAAATAAAGACTAGAGCAGAGAATAGGGAAAAAAACAGAATAGGACCAAAAAAAAAAAAAAACAGACAAAATATTTTATTTTTCAGTGCTGAGACTTAAATCCAGGGCCTCCTGCAGGCCAGGCAAGAGCTCTGCCACTGAGCTACACCTCCAATCCCCAAAACTGGCTCTTTAAAAAGATCATCTATGCCTGGGCATGGTGGCGCACACCTGTAATCCCAGCACTATGGAGGCAGAAAACAGGAGGATCACTATGAATCTAAACTGCATAGTGAGACTCTGCACCAATAAATAAATAAATAACCCTGGGCTAGGGGTGTAGCTCACATGCTAAGCACGTGCAAGGTCCTTGGTTCAATCCCCAGCACTACACATGCACGCATGGAGAAATGTTCAGGTAGGTGGACAGGGAAAAAAAGAAAGAAGACATGAAATTATGCAAATCAAGAATGAAGGGGCTAGAGAGATGGCTCAGTGGTCTAAAGCACCTACTTGAAACTAGCTTAGCAAAGCACAGGGACCGCGGTTCAATCCCCCAGCACCACATGCCAGCCAGCCCCGCCCCCTGGTGGGCTGAGCTGGCCACACACACACACACACACACACACAATGTAAAAATAAATAAATAAAAACAATGAAGGGGCTGGGGAGATAGTACAGCAGGCTTAAGTGCCTCCCTGGCAAGTGAAAGTCCTAAATTCAATCCCCAGTAGTACAAGTTCAATCCCCAGTAGTACAAAAAAACCAGAACAAAGCCAGCTGGGCATAATGACATTTGATTGTGATCACAGCACTCACCGAGCCTGAGGCAGGAGGATCCCAAGATGAGCTCAGCCTTAGTAACTTACTGACTTTGTTGGTTTGTGTTGTATTCTGTGTCAAAGTTCACTCTAGTAAGTAACCTTAAATACCTTTTTAGTATATTTCCTTTTTTTTTTTTTTTTTTTTTTTTTTTTTTTCTTTTTTTCTTTTTATACCAGGGATTGGACTCAAGACCTTGCACTTGCCAGACAGACACTTATGCTGCTGAGCTATATCCCCAGCCTGGGTTGTATTCCGGTTTTTTGTTGTCGTTCCCAAGCTGGCCTAGATCTCATGGAGATCTTCCTGCTTCAGCACCTGAATCCAGAGATGACAGGTGTGTGCCTCCACAACCAGCCAGATAGTCGATATAAAATGGAAAAATTCATGGACATAAATTAGAGTGGAGGAATAACTCATCAGTAGAATATTTACCTAGTATGCATGAGGACCTGAGTTTGAACCCAATTTGCAAAATAAAATAAAAAACGATTCCCCAAATTAACCCGCAGAGTAAACACAATTCCTAACAAAATGCTAATAGCTTTTTTTTTTTTTTTTTTTTTTTTTTTGGCAGAAATGAACAGGCTAATCCTAAGATTCATATAGAAATGAGATCTACATATCTAAACAATCATTTCTATTAAAATGTATTTAGTACAAGATCTACAGAGTCTCATTACATAGATTGGACTGGTAGTGATTCTCCTGTTTTCAGCCTCCCAAACGCTGGGATTACAGGCACACCACCACACCTAGTCTCAATCACCTCTCAGCGCACCCTGGGGGCAGGGCCCCACACTGCAGGCCAGTGATCAAAACACCAGCCCCTGTGCTCTGCCTAAGCAGAAGCTTTAGTCTGCTGAGCTATCTGGCTCTCTCTCTCTCTCTCTCTCTCTCTCTCTCTCTCTCTCTCTCTCCCCCCCCCCCGCAGTTCTGGGAACTGAATTCGGGGCCTGGCCTTCAGTTACATGCCTAGTCCACCCCTTAAAGACAAGGACTTGCTAAATTCACCAGGCTGGCTTTAAACTTGTGATCTCAGCCTCCTGGTTAGCTGGGATTACAGGTATGTGTCACTGTCAGGCACTTGCTGGGTGGTTCACTGATTATTTTTTAAGAGACTTATGCCTTTATTCCTTGTTCTGCAAAGCAGGCAAGCTGAGTAGTTTGCTTTTTGGTGATCAACCAAAGAGAACAAATCCCATATCCTCATCTGACTCCTCCAACTTTTGCTTGGCTTCAGTGTTTTCTGGGGCGGCTACAGCAGCAGGAGCAGCAACCACAAATGCAGATCGATCAGCCGAGAAGGCCTTGACCTTTTCAGCAAGTGAGACTGTATAATTAGTTCCCACAGACAAAGCCAGGACCTGCTTGTGCCCACTAATGACAGAATGAGGCACTGATGAGACAGGGCGGTGACCAATCAGCAGACAAACACTGGCAACATTTCAGACACCTTTGTAGAAAGTGAGAATGTGGAGTTAGTGGCTCAGCCACTGAGTTATATACTCTGTAACGTCAAGCACTTTGGAGCTGTAGATGCTGCCATTGTCGAACACCTGCTGAATGATTGATCCAAAGAAAAGTAGGGAGATGATCAACATGAATAGGGAGATGATCAATGTCACCGTTTCAGTGGTGCCCTGGTTATTTTAGTAGTGATGCCCAGAGCCTGGAAGAAGGAGGTCTTCTCTAGCCCCAGACCAGTATTATGGGCTGGTACAGTGAGTGCACCAGCACAGGTAGCAACTGGCACCTTATTGGCCAGCAGCAATCTCAGTGAGATCCTTCTTGGTGAACACCAAGCACACACTCCCTCAGGTATGGCCTTGCACATAACGGGGTTCTTGCCCATCAGCATCATAGCCTTCCCTCAGAGGGATATGAGTCTCTACTGCATCTGCTTGGAGTCCACGCTCTGCTTGCACAATGAAGATTATCCAAAAGTTGGATAATCTTAAGGAAGTAGTTAAATTTCCAGGTTGCCTTGTTTTCCCTGGGCATCACAATGATGCATCAGGAATTGCCACACAGTGTTGGGATTATAGGCATGTGCCACCACACCCAGCTGAGAGCCAACTGATTTTTGAAAAGGGTGTCAAGACCTTTCAGTGGGGAAAGAATAATCTTTTAAGCCTAGCATAAGGGCCAGGGAGATGGCTCAGTAGAATAAAAGCTTGCCTGGCAAGCACAAGGTCCTGAGTCCAATCCCCAGTTCCACCAAAAAAAAAAAAAAAAGCCTAGCATAGTGCCACACACTTCTAGTCTCAACAAAAATATAAAATTTTGGGGTACCAAGAGTCGAGCTCAGAACCTTATGCTTGCCAGGCAGCCACTGAGCCACTGAGCTATATCCCCAGTGAAAATTAAAAACAATAAAATAAAACTTTTGCACCTTAAAAAATGCCAATAAAGTGACAAGACAAGCTAATAGGAGAAAAACATTTGCAAATATGTATCTCATGTTTATGTTAAGTAGAATATAAAAATAACATTTGCAATGCAACAATAAAACCACAAAGAGTTCAATTTAAACCTGAGGAGGTAGATATGGTGGCTTACCCCTGTAATTCCAGCACATAGGAGGCTGAAGCAGGAGGATTGAGGCCAACCTGGGTTATATAATAATTCAGGGCCACCTGACTATATAGCAATCCCTATCTTAAAAAAAAAATCCATAAAAAAGACCAAGTACTTGAATAGGACTTCTCCAAAGAAAATATACTGTGCTAGTGACCAATCAGCACATGGAAATACACCCAACGTCACTAATTTTTAGAGAACTACAAATCCAAACCTCAAGACAGCACTTATATCTACTCACTGTCTGGGTGTGGGGTAGCGCATACCTGTGACCCCAGCACCTGAGAGTTGCCAGAGGGTTGCTGTGAGTTCAAGGGCAGCCTGGGATCCACAGTCAATTCAGGACCAACCTTTTTTTTATTGTATATTTCTTTTGATTATCTATGTTTTGTTGATTTTTTCAGATCATTGTTTATTAGTACATGTAGTAATAACATTTAGATTATTTGTGGGAAGATGGTACATGCGCACAACACATCTGAATTCCTTTCATTTATCTTCTTCCTCTTCCTTCCATCAATGTTCTTTTCTATATTTATTATTATTTTGTTAACTTTATTTTTATTTTTTTCCATAACTTTATTGAGAAACAAATAGCAATGAGACAGTTTCAAACCAAATTGGTAGGACAGTTTCAATAATTAACACATTGCATATATTCTTCCTAATGGTTAATTGTTGTACAAGATGCGGACTTGATATTCTATTTACAAACACCATTAGAACAAATCCCTCTATTCATTAAGAGTATGTAACTATATATCTATCCTAACCACTTTGAATACATAGATACAAAATGGACATTCATTTTGTATCCCTTTTTTTTTGTTAAGTTCCATCATTTCAATATTATAGGTGTGTAAACTCAGCAAAATATTCTAAAAGAGTTCAGTAGTCCATAATAGTATTGGGTCTTCCACTTCACTGGCAATGTCAGAAATTGTTGACCTGAGTCCCCTACAGCTCAACATAACACCATGGCTTTACTTCTTTTTTTTTTTTTAATGGCTTTACTTCTTATACTTCATTTTTATACTTTTCTGCTGGATGGTTAAGACCAAGGTAAAGCAAGACCTATGCAACAAGAGTTGTAGCTTTTGGGTCTGATAAGGTCAGTCAAATCCCCTCAGGATTTATCCTGAGATCCTGTACCTCAGATTGCAGAACCTTTGTCAGTGTCAGCCATGTGGATGAGTCACGGCCATTGCTTGGCCAATGTGCTCTCTGTGAAAGCCTGAGAGAATGTTTTCTCTCCATGTGACTCTCCTTAGGCACACTCTACATCATCGATCCCCTTCCTCTTTGGTCCCATAATCTCCTTGATCAGAAAATTTGGGACTCTACAGAGTTACATGACGTTACAGTACAAGTTCTCATATGCAGGACCAACCTTAACTACATAGTGAAACCCTGTCTCAAAAAATCTCAAAAAACAAAATCAATACCATGCATTGGTGATGATGCATAAAAATTAGAAAATTCATACATGACTGCGAATATAAACTTATGCAGCTGATGTAGAAAACCATCATTTCTTCAAAGTTGTTAAACATAATTCCCACTTGTAGCATATAGCATGATCATTCTAACTCAGACTCTCAAGTCTATCGTATGGGCTCTTGAAGCTACCGCTCCAATCAGATAGACTGTCTTATGCCCCTAAGATTTTTGGTTTTCGTTTCATTTCATTTTATTTATTTTTTTACTGCTTTGGTTTGTTCCCTGCCACACTTCCATCAAATGCTCCCTGTCGCAAAACAGCCGCCCTTTCTTTGCCCTTCTGCCGTCAACCGTGACATAGTTTCGCTCCCAGAATCCCTCTGGGACCGACTAAAGAGCGTGACAGAGCGCTTTACGACAGTTGCTTTGTGGTAGTACCAGAAGAGAAAAATGGCGGCTACCGTACTACGAGCTGGAGGAATGGGACCTGCACCCGCCTGGGGGCCAGAGGCTATCACCCCAGACTGGGAAAACCGAGAAGTCTCCACAGGGGTGAGGACGTTATAAAGGTTCAGGAGATGTGCGCTGGGGAAAAGCGAAGTCGGAGTGGACATAGGAGAAGGGAGGCTGTGCGTTACGCGCTAGGCAGAGGGGTACGCGGAGGATGTTGGAGAGGTTTGGTGCTTTCGTGGTGGGAGGAGCAGGCTGGTGAAAGTGCAAAATTCTACAATCCTGCGGGGTAAGGGAAACCTCTGAACTTTGAGGGTCGGATTCCTGGTATTCTCGGCAGTGTTAAGTCTCCTCCACTGCCTGATACTTGAAAGTGAGTCCATGGCGCACGAATTCTGTATTCTGGGATCTGGGTGAGATGGTTGAGGATTGTGTATACAAGACAATGTGAAAAAAAACTCACCTTTTTTTTCCCCTTTTGCCCAGACCACGATCATGGCTGTGCAGTTTGACGGGGGCGTGGTTCTGGGGGCGGACTCCAGAACAACCACTGGGTGAGCTGAGCACAGATTTGTAGTGTTCCCATCTTCCCTACCTACCTACCTGTTAACCCCCCCCCATCGCCCCTCTTCTGGTGGTGGAACCCAGGGCAAGCATTTACCGTTGAGTTCCACCCCCAGCTGTGTTAGCCCATTTTTAGCCTTCACAGACTACTGTAGGAAGAGAGGTCTGTCCTTTCCCTGAAAAGAAAAGATTTGTGCCAGTTCGTTATTCTTCTAGTTCCTGTGGTCCTTTTGTGGAATCCTTATAATCTAAAAGTCTGTCCTTCATCCGGACTCCTTTAGTTTGGATGAGCGCCAAAAAGCAGTACTGGAATTCCTGAGTTCTGAGGAGTAGATAGTGAAAAGATGGAGGTGGGGTTCTTCCCTCACTGTTCTACCATCCTGCAGGTCCTACATCGCCAATCGAGTGACTGACAAGCTGACTCCTATTCATGACCGAATTTTCTGCTGCCGCTCAGGTTCAGCTGCTGATACCCAGGCAGTAGCAGATGCTGTCACTTATCAGCTTGGTTTCCACAGGTGCTTGTGGGGCGGGGAGGAGCAA